CTCATCGCGGTGTCAGGTCTGGTATCCGCGATATCCGTGCGTGTTCTCCCCGGGTCTCCATGTTCAACGTCTGATCGTTCCGCGCATCTATAGATCTCTGCATGGAACACCCGCAATTCGACAAATCCCCATCTCTTCGTCCGAACCAACGTCGTGACCTATTTCATTCCATTGCTCATATGCGCTCTATTCCAAGGTTCATTTTCTCACTTGTCTCGCCTTGATCGCAATGCTCACGCGCCCACACGCGTTAGCCAACCGAACGGTTGGAAGATGTTCCTGTCGGCGCTGGCTTCACTTTGCTTGTATGCCTACGTCTTTTATCGCATCCGCCAGCGATTAGACAAACCTTCATCAAAGTACGGCCTCTCAGAAAAAGACATGGAAGACGAGTATCAAATCCAACTCATTAAACACATGATGATGTACGTTGTTGTCTTTCGCTTCACCCTCACCTTTCGGTCCTGACTGGCATCATGGTACAGGTATCCGGTACGTTTCGCATACTTCCTTGCGGCATGCCAACAGGAACTGACCACAAATCGGCGCTGTAGCTTGCGTATTTCATTCTCATTCTCCCAATCGCTATCGCTCGGTTTACCTCTTGGTCCGGCCATGACGTTGCGTTTGGAGCCACCATTTTCTGGTAGGTACCCCGCCTTACGTCTAGCTAGTAATATCCTAATCACGCTCTCGATCCAGTGACTCGGTCTACCTCCTCATTGGTAACCACGCTCTTGTTCCATCCTCGTACGATCTCCCTGACCCACGGTGTTCCTCGTCAGGTATCGTCTTCACGGGTCTCTTCATCTCCGCACGCCGTATCCTGCCCCCACAGTCCACCATTCCCAAGTTCTTCATCTCGGGCCCTCTCCCCCGACACGACGCCGAGGGCCAAGTCATGTACGACGACCCGTACTACAACCCCCCGAATATGTTCATGGCGCCTCGCTCCGTACCTCTCGTGAAAGCTTCGATGGCCGGGGATGTCGAGGAGTCCAAGTCCAAGCACAGCTCCATCGCAAGTTCGATGCTCAAGCCCTTGCCACCCCCGCCCCCAGTGTACACGCCCAGCCCCTCCCCGGAAACAAAGGCTCGATCACCCCCACGCCCCACCATCCCGCTTCGCAACCCATTCTCGTCGCGGGGCATGGTCGCAGGTGGAATCGCGCGATCTGCGCCACGGCCCCTCCTTCGTGCGCTCGGTACAAGTTCCCGCACCTCCCCGTTCAGCTTCCGCGCCGCGGCGCGCGCCGCAGCCCCGTCCGTCACCTCTGCCGGCTCGGAACGTTCGTTCCCCAACATCTCCGTCAAGTCTGCAACGACCTCCAGCTCCTCTTCGGCGTTCTCCATGCGGTCCGCTAGCGACGCGGGCTCGTTCGACATCGTCTGGCCCTCGGGCGGTCCCCAGAGCGCGCGGACGCAGACGACGACCCAACCCCACTCGGCGCAGGACGACATCCGGAGTCTCGCACGGCAGATCGATAACGAGCTCGCGCGGGCGAAAGCGTCGTGGCGGCAATCCTCAGAGTCAGAGTCCGACTCCGACTCCGACCTTTATGTCGACGCTGATGCGCGGGAGCTCTCGCACGCGGATATCACGCAGCATGTGATGAGCGCGAGCACGGCCAACGGCGATGACATTCTCAGATACTACAGAGGGTCACCCTACACGGCTTCGCCCCCGGGCTCGCCAGCTGAGAAGCGAGGATTGTAGCGGCGAGCAATGTACGATGGATGGATAGCGTAGTTTATTTAATCATAATATTCCATGATCACCATGTACTGTGTACAACAACCACGAAGAACGGTTGTGTTTTAGTATTTTACTGTCAATTTTCAAACTATCTGGGACTCGTCACTCCGTGGGACCGTGTAGTGTTGCACAAATACAAATAAATATCTTGAGGAGCCATATTATAATGGATACAAAAAAATATGAGTATGGAGAGAAGGATATTTATTCATGTCCGTATTTAATCATATTTACTTTGTATTTACTCCCACGTTTCCTGTCTCCAAATCACTCCAAATCAGGTCTACCCTCGGACATGTAATGGATGAAATGACAGGACATGATTGTATATCAGTACTTCTGAAGTGTTATATGTATACAAGCTCTCACTAAAGTCTCCCCAAACTCGTCAACATGCTTTGGAAAATGCTGAGATGACTGGGAGATGGCTGTCTAGAGTGTCAACATGAGAAAGTTGATGTCAATGTTATGTCTGCTGGCTCTATTGGGGAAATTGACCTTAGAGAACAGATGTATAGCCAAGGACTGACTCCTTGTAAGCTGTGATCCAGCTGCAATGACATAGGAGTAAATATATTATATCACGCAGCCCATATCTAATCATATCTTGTGATTATGATTATGGGCAACCCTATATCTAATGGTATTTTTGCATATTATTATGATTATATTTGAATATATTCTATAATTTGTTCAACACTACTATGTAGCCTTGTACATCCTAGGTTCCTGCATACTTGATAGCATTGGAACAGAAAAAAGGAGTGTGCATTTCCATTCCATCGACACCAGCAGGATTTGAACCTGCGCTCCCAAAGGGAAACAGATTTCTAATCTGTCGCCGTAACCACTTGGCTATAGTGCCGTCCGACGT